TCAGCTGGTTGATCAGGAGAGCTGTGGTGCAGAGGAGGTGACTGACAGCTGACTGGGTCTTGGTACGTGGCATGTCACCTCTCTGGTGGGGAAAGAGTCTGACATGGTGTATGAGGTTGAGAGATTCCAGCTTGATACAGTCTGTTTCACCTTGATGCATGGCTCTGGCTCAGGAACCAATCTCCTTCATAGGAGTAAGTCAGTAGCCTCCCTCCGCTTACATGTGGGATTGGTCCTTACTGTCTGTGCTTATGCACCAAGCTGCAGGTCAGACTACCCACACTTTTTGGAGTCCATGGAGGGTGTGCTGGAGAGCGATGCTTCCAGGGACTTTTTTGTTCGTATAGAACACCACGGACAGGGTCCGGTGGAACCAAAAACCAGAACAATTGTTCCCTCTGTAATTCACCACTAGATGGGGTAAAAGAGTCAAATAAAAACTACCTCAACAAAATTTAAAGTGAAAGACTGTTACTATATTATATTCAGATTTTGCTTTTCTGATTGACTGGGTACATTTCTATAAATATGAAGGATTGCCTGTCCCTGATTTTCTTGGATGTCTTTGCTCTGTGAGATGGATGTTTTAGACAAATCAGTTCTGAAAGTTCAGTGTTGATCCAGGGACTGGTCGCCGGCCAGGTGTATGAAGAGTGTTTTAAATAAAAATGACGCAGAAGTATCTGATGTTGTCTCTGGTTTTCTGTAACTCCCTCAAAATCCTCTTTTCCACCTTCCTGGTTCTTGAGATCTCTGAATGGACCAAAAGTAAGCCACCAAGTCGCCTTGTATTTCAATCATCCACACTTTAGATACCCATATGCATTTAGGGGAGATTCTCTCTGCATTCACTCCCTTCTTCAGATAAGATGGGTGACACTTGGCCCTGATCTGCTTCCTATCCTATGTTCCTGTGCTAAGGCTGCAATGACCTTTGCCCTTGCCCTCTCCCTTTGAACTGCTTTTAGATGATCTAATCTGGCCTGGCTTTGCCTGTTGAGAATCTCCTTCTGACACTTCTAGCAATATAAACCTGCATAATTCAGATTTAGGTCTAAATTAGTGATTAGGTTTGTACCAGACACAGGTGAGTCATCCATATGTGTATCATTAAGTTTAAGGGACAGTTACACACTAACATTGAAATGTTCAAGGGGGGGGTCTAAAGAAGTGACAGTAAGGAGGAGGTGTCAGTAGAGGGGGAAGTTAAAGACGTGTCAGTAGGGTTTGTAAACTGAAGTACTAGAGGCTGGCCCTGGGTTTGGTTGAATGTTCCCAGAGATTAGTAACGATAGACAAATCATAACCCTCTTTTCAAAAGGTTTAGAAGAGGAATGTGTCTCCCATCTTTTTGTCAGTGTCAGGAAAGTCATTTAGAGGTATGAAAGCCATAATACACATTAGTTGGACTAAGTCCGGTAGTTCAGAAGGAGGAGGAAAGGGAAATGGCGACACTTTATTTCCAAGCATCCAGTTACCTGCACATGTTCCTCCACAAGGTCTAGTAAAGTTTGTAGGGTCTTTGCTGCAGTCTTGGGGCTCGTAAGGAAATTTAATATTACATTTTTCCACTCTCAGTTCATGCAGGTTCTTGATAAACATGCTCCTTGGGTCAGTGTAAAAATTAAGGGCAGCCATTTGCCTTGGATTTCTCATGATTTAATTGCTTTATTTAAGAAGCGCGACAAAGCGTGGAAAGTAGCAAAACTTAGCAATCTGCATGAGCATTGGACAGTTTATAGAATACTAAGGAACTTCTGTACTACCCAGACTAGGAATGCTAAAGCTAATTTTTATAAGAATGCTTTGCATAAGGATATCAATAACCCTAAGCGCTTCTGGGATAAAATTAAAGACCTGAGGGGGAAAACTAATGTTAAAATCTCACATCTGAATGTTAATGGGAGTCTTATTAATGACCCGGCTGAAATTGCTGAAGCATTCAGTAAGCACTTTGCTTCCTCTCCTCTCCTTGCCTCTGCAGAACATCATGGGTCTTACACCCTGCCTCAATGTTGCTCCAGTGGATTTTCTTTTTCTGAAATTCATTCTGAGGAAGTGCGTAAAGTTATACTGTCTCTCTCTAGTGGGAATGCTGCAGGTCCAGATGGCATAGAGAGTCGCTTTGTTAGGATAGCTGCTGATGTTCTAGCCTTACCATTATCTATTCTTTTTAATCATTCAATTAACTCATGTTCTGTTCCAAAAGCTTGGAAATGTACTAAAATAATACCACTGCATAAAGGAAACGATACATCTGAACCTAATAACTATAGACCCATTGCTATAATTAATACAGTTGTTAAAGTATTTGAAAAACTGGTTTTTATCCAACTATCTAAATACTTAGAGGATAACAACCTACTATCACAGTACCAATCGGGGTTCAGAAAAAACTTCTCGACAACTACTGCACTGCTCAAATTTTCTAATGACATCTATTCTGGTTTTGACAATAATTTCTTTGGTGGTGCGATTTTTCTTGATTTAACAAAAGCCTTTGACCTCGTCAATCACTATCTACTTTTAGATAAATTATATGCTTTTGGTCTGTCAAAGCCGTCTCTACTGTGGTTTAGTTCTTTTCTTCATCATCGTTCTCAATTTGTTTCCTTTAATGGTTCTGAATCAAACACGCGTGGTGTCATCAGAGGTGTTCCCCAAGGCTCCTCACTTGGGCCATTATTATTTTCAATTTTTATTAATGATTTACCACAGTGCTGCAGATCCTGTTCTGTTCAGTTATATGCAGATGACACAGTCTTATACTGTTCTAAGTCGAGTAAATCCGAATTACAAGAAGCTATTCAGCCTAATTTTGACGAAGTGCAGCTCTGGCTAGCGCAGAACAAACTTCTTTTAAATAAATCTAAGACTTACTCCATGCTGTTTCACAGATGTAGTACTCTATCTGACAGTGACAGGACTCTTAATCTTTATTTTTTGGATTCCTCCCCGGTTCAACCGTCTGTTAAAATGAAATATTTAGGAGTTTGGCTAGAGCCAGAGCTGTCTTTTAAATTTCACATTCACACAACATGTCTTAAGGTCACACGGTGTTTACGTATCCTTTATAACTCAATAAATTGCTTTGAACCTATTGTACGAAAGCGCATCGTCACTCAGCTTCTGTTACCGATCATTGATTATTCTGATATTTTATACCAAAACTCAACAGTTTCTAGCCTGCGGTCTCTTGATGTTGTCTATAACAGTTTGTGTTGTTTTATTTTGCGGTGTTCATTTAACACTCATCATTGTTATATGTATGATCTTCTTGGTTGGCTTCCTTTAAAAGCTAGACGACAATTTCATTGGTTGATATTTATGTTTAAGTGCATTTATTTTGATTTTCCACTTTATCTAAAAACACTTTTGGTTCCCATTGATTCCTTGTATTCCACCCGCTTAACTACTCTTCCATCATTTGTTGTTCCTCGTTTTAAAAAGGAGGTGGGTAGACTCGCCTTTTGTGTTAAAGCTCCTCAGGACTGGAATAAATTACCCACTGAATTAAGATCCATCTCAACAATTCATCAATTCTCCCGCACTGTTTATGCTTATGTAAAGCCAAGCTGTAGTTGCTTTGTTTAATCTTTACTATGATGATTTTGTGCATTCAATGGCTAACATGCTGTATTTCGTTGCCAAACTTTGTATTCAGTTGGGATACTACTTCACTTTAGGTTTATTTACAATGTAATTTCTTGCCCTTATTTCTCTTTGAGTGCCTCACAGCAGTTTTATTTAATTTAATTTGGTACATAGGTATGTATGTACATATGTACACGTGTGGGTATCTATGTATCCATGCTTATGTGTTTATATTTACGTGTGTATATATATATATATATATTTATACATATCGTTGATTTTACTATTATTTACTTTCCCTTTTTTTTTTAAGTCTGTTACAACTTTCTAACTCTGCCACCTTATTTGTTATTGGTTGTGTTGTAGGAGGACCTGCTCGAAAACGAGATGTTACATCTCAAGCAGTTTATCCTCCTGAAAAACATAAGTTAAATAAATAAAATAAATAAATAAATAATGTTAGCAAACACAGGGCGGTGATAAGTGGTGACATTTTGTGTTTCAAGCTATAATGTAGGTTTAGGATTGTGATCCAGCAAGGGTTTTTTGTGTGATGAAATCCACCTCAGGCTTTACGCCCTCGAGCCGAGCCATCTCCAATCTTACAAAATATCAAATCGGCAGAATAATGGTTGTGAGCAGCTCAGCAGTTAATCCAGGTTCCAGGAAGGTGTTGAAGGCTCTGTCTCCAGGAGGTTGTTGCAGTTAGCACCCACTCAGCAGCAGGCAAAGTCCAGGCTCCCGGTGACTTCACACAGGCCCGGCCCGGAAGGTCAAGCAAAACCAGCCTCTTGGGGAGTGCAGCAGGGCTAGTCTCCGGGAGATGTAGAAGAACCAGGATTCACACGGGCACAGATGAAACAACAAAGTCAATCATCAAACTGTGGCCTAAGGTGTCCTGGTGCCGAGAACACATACCTTTATGCTTAATCATGATGTTATTTGGACAATCCATGACATGCAGAGAAGTCCAGTAACAAAGCACAGCTCAGATTCATCATCTGAAACTACCACACATCAGAACTCCTCCAGGCTTGTGAGTTAAAACATACAAGTAGCAAGTCAGTGGTCGCATTGCTGTGATCCAGTTGGAGGCAAGATGTCCAAATATCAGGAAATATGACTTTAAAACCTGCCGTCTGTAGCTCAGCTGCGATGTGGCTCTCTTCTAGTTCCTGGAAACAGTGGACCGATATTCTTTGCTTGTATTTTTGCATTGTTTTATTAATGCTTTAATAGAAGACAAACAAAACTGAAGAATGTTTGAAAATTATAGCAGTGTCTACGTCTTTATTGTCCTTTAAGATTTCCACCAGTAATTTACTAACATTTTTATGTTTCATTGTGCAGTCATGTAGAGGAGTCTGTAAATTTCCTTTTGGACCAAACTTTCCTCTATTTCCCAGGTCGAGCTGGCCATTCTGAAATTCCCTTACGACTCATGGCGTACCCCATTCCAGCAGCTCAAACAGGTGGTGGATGAACCTTCTCCACAGCTGCCTGCAGAATGCTTCTCCCCGGAATTTGTAGACTTCATCTCCCAGTGGTGAGCCTCGCTCACTACCATCATCCCTAAACATACTTATTTATGAGTTATAAATATAAATATTACTAATGTCCAACAGGGGGTAGTTTTAGTTCTGGAGTATAGTCTGAACTTGCTTGCAGGTTTTAGATGTTTTTGTGATGTTTATTATGAATTTGAAAAATGTAAATGGTCCATAATGGCTGTTATTTTTTGTTTTATTTTTTACTGTTTTTGTCTTGTTTTGCAGTTTAAGGAAGACACCAAGTGAAAGACCAGCTTATACAGAATTAATGGTTAGTTTCTTGTTTCCTGTTCTCAAAATCATGGAGTGCTGCAGTCCTCAGTGAGCCTGAACTCCCTGTTTGTGTCCACAAGAGGGCAGACTTATTATTTAAACAAATTGGTTAATGTGTATAGTACATGTAGAAAAAAGTACAGTTTCAATTTAATTGTTTTCATTCAAAAACCATTTTCCTGTCTCTTTTCTTTCTTTTCATACAGAAACACCAGTTTTTCACCCTGCATGACTCTAAAGAGACAAACGTGGCCAGTTTTGTCAAGGACATACTGGGTGATTGATGGGCATCCTTCATCATCCACGTAAGTGGGAAGGACTTTTCAGCAAGCAAACCAATGACCCTACTTTTTCAAAAAGGAAAAACAGACCCTCTCTGGAATGTCAAACTTTTGTGCACCCACGCATCAGGGACATAATCCGAAGACTGACCGGGTCTCTGGCCGGCAAGATGATTGAATTTCATATGCAAAACTGGTAGTTATGTACGTGTTGGTGTATCCTGAATGCTATCTTTGCATATATTTTTGTATGATTGCTGATAACCACTTTTGATACAGTTTTCCTTTGATAAGTGTGAATTTTACAGACTAGAGCCAACATCTCACTTGCCTTTGCCCTGATGCTATTGGTCCAGCGGGGGGGGAGGGGGGGGGGGGGGCACGAACACGACTGTCGTATATAGTCGTCTCGAGCAAAGCTAAAGAAAACTGTCTAAGGTCACTTTCTGGGCAGGAGGAATCATTCCTGGAGTGCTGATTGGCACGAGGAAAGAATGTCTTCTGTGATCTGTGACCTCCATGCTGTGAACACTGAGTGTTCTTTCTTTATTTTTTTCTCTCTCGGGCATCATAAAGTCAGCTCCTGTCTTGTGATTGTTACTACCTGGAAAAGTTCAGGATTTTTCCAATCGAGCGTATTGCTTTATCTGTTTATGGGTAACAATTTGTGCAGTGTTCTTCTGATTTGCTGCAATATTGCATTTTTTTTCCTTCTTTTGAACTTGTTCTGGTTTGGAGTTTGATTAAATTACAAGAATGTTTTAACCTGCATCATCTTAAAGCTGAAGTAGCATTGTCGGATTTTTCAAAGGAACTTGTGTTTTCCCTGTGCAATTGAATTGGAAAGTTTTGCATGCCTTACAAAGAAAGTAAACTAGGGAAGTCATTTATGTGTAAAATATATAAATGTTTCCTATTTTCCAATGTAATTTGGCAGCATTTCTACCTGTCACAGTGTAACCAACCGCTGGAGTGGTTGATGTTAGTTTTAATGAAGAGTGACACGCAGATGTTCCTATTTCTGATTTGATTGAGTACCCGCAGTCCTTGGAAAAGTCAGCAGGTGATGAGCCCCTCAGCGTCGGGAGGCAACGCGCTGTGCCAGAGCATCGGTACCTGACGCCCACCGTAAAACAGACATTTGACCGAATTGTGACCTTTACCCTCTTGCAATTTAACCTTCCCTTCACCCCCATCCTAACCTTAACCAGCTTGCGCATGCAGAGCTCTGATTGTTGACGCGCTCCAGACACCTGCGTCCTGATCACGGCCAAAGTAACATTATCAAATCAGGTGTCGCCACCTCAAAAACTAATTTAACACGCGATCGTTCATGTCGGCTCATTTCCTTTTATGTTTTCTGTCTTTTGTGCCTGATGCGTTTCACTGCTGTGGAGCGGAGCGCATCACCTGTTTTGTCCTCGGGTGACGCACCTCACCGGTGCAGCCGGCACGCAGCGCACACTCCGCTGTTTTTGCGGTCGGTAGATCTTTTAGAACTGCAGTTCAAAGGTAACTCATGAGGTGAATATATATGAACCCAGGCAGCAGTTTCTCTTTAGGACTGAGAGGAGATGCAGGAAGATAATAAACAGACAGGACAGAAAAACAGTCAAATAAAAACAAGTTAGTTTTTGTACCTGCTGGTTGCAACAAACAGACACCATTGAAGGTAATCAGAAGTGAGGAACAGAAAATGAAATAATTATTTTAATGTTTAGAGCTGCAGGAACTCCGAGAGGCTGCAGGCGCATCAGTGAGTTTGTGGCTGTTGCGCAGGGGGAGGGGGGAGAGGGCTGAAGCAAGATGCAGAAACTACCGTTAAGAGATGTGTTTAACGTAGAAAATGTGGGTGCAATTTTAATTGTCAAAAACTCCAGCGAACCAACCAACGTCGGAAAAAAACGCTTGGTCATCCATTGTCGGTTTTAGCCGTTTCAGGTGTATGACGTCATCAACGACTAGTCGAAGTCGACTCGATTTTCATCACTTGACGGTCGACTTTAAAAAAAAATTAAGTCATGCAACCCCTATATTCAACAATAGGTTATTAGCATTGTATGGGTCAAAATCGATATCATTTGTGTCAGCTCAGTCGAATGATAGCCACACTAAATGTAAACTCAACTGGTTAAAAAACATTCGGTAACATTTTAAAATGTTTACCGATGTTTTGTTATGAAACGTTTGTCATTAGTAAGTCATGAATAGATTATTTGCAAGGTTTTACATATATCATTCATTTATAAAGGGTTGAGTTGACATTTACAAATGCTTAAATAATGATTAAACATTTACAAACAACACATTTGGCAATTTTCATAGATATTTATCTTTCTAAAGTCACAATTGTCATCTTTTATATATAAAGTTATGATGCACCAGAGATTATAGTGACTAAATATTTGTAAATAATCATGACCACATTTGATTAATTAAAAACAGCTTTTTTAAAATATTGGCGAAATGTAAAAAAGTAAATAAAAAATACCCGACATTTTAAAACTTTTCAGATTAATTACTTTCTTTCGAAAACGAGGAACTCTAACTTTTTTTATAAACCATCAGTTTGTCAAGAAAGTGAATGCGTGATGGTTTGGAACCTTTATGGGAAACCCCTGATCTGATGTAGATGTGAACACTTCAGCCATAGAAGACTAACCAGGAAACATCTGACAGATGAACAGGCCCATTCCATCATGTGCTAGATTTCTATCTGATGATCAGATACCAGAACTGAGCATCTACAAGCACTTAACTGTAAATGTCCTGATTCTCTTCTGTCCCAGAACACATATCCTTGTTAAATGTTCTGCAACACCTCATTAGTTGTAAATGTTTTTAAAATCATTTGTAGCCTTAAAAAACATAGCGCCCGCATCACTGGCATTTTACTGATCAGTCGTGGTGAAGAGAGAGCTGAGCCGGAAGGCAAAGCTCTTGATTTACCGGTCGCTCTACGTTCCTACCCTCACCTATGGTCACAAGCTTTGGGTAGTGACCGAAAGAACGAGGTCACGGATACAAGTGGCCGAAAAGAGTTTTTTCTGCAGGGTGGCTGGGCTCCCTCTTAGAGACAAGAGAAGCTTGGTCATCCAAAAGGGCCTCGGAGTTGATCATCTCCACATCAAGAGGAGCTAGTTGAGGTGGCTCGAGCATCTGGTCAGGATGCTTCCTGGATGACTCCCTGGTGTGGTTTTCCGGGCATGTCCAACTGGGAGGAGACTCGAGGAAATCAACCAGGACACGCTGGAGAGACTATGTCTCTTGGCTGGCCAGGGAACACCTTGGGATTCCCCTGGAAGAGCTGGCTCAAGTAGCTGGGGAGAGGGAAGTCTGGATGGATGGAAAAAACATTAATACATGACACGTGTACATCTACAAGTAATCTATTACACTTTTGCTTCCCGTAATTTAATGTGTGACAACCTCATTACTTGTAAATGTTTTAAGAATCATTTGTAGCTCAACAAAAAGATTTACAAAGGATATTTAGGTGTAACATTATTTTAGGGCCACAGTATTCCATCAATAAATCGAATAATGGGATAGGCATTTATTTTTCCTTTCCTTGGAAAATATGGTCAAATTGTAACAAAGCAGTACTAGTGTGGTGGTGTCTGAGGTATCTCAGTAAATGCTCACATTAAACTTGTAAGCTTTTGATTTGTCCAAATTGGTAAACAATTAAAAGTGTTGACACTTCCTCACTTCTTTAGTTCTAGCAAGTTGTCCAGTTCGGTCAAACTAGGTCAGTAAAGCATAAGGAACCCTCATTTTCGAGGTCAAACTTTCTTTGCAAAACTGCAAAGCTCCATCAGATGCAAAACTTCATCTGACTGCCAGCAGTCGCCCTGAGGGTGTCCCTTGACCAGCGTTAAAGTATTCGAGGTGGACCTACATAGTTTGTCATACCATTAAATATACAGCCATACTTATTTTACTACCCAGACATCAAAATTTTCTAAGACACTTAATTAGGTTTCGTTAACGTAACATCTAAGCTTACATTCCATCATTTCATTCATTGTCTAAGTTATTTTGTTTCAACCATCATTTATCATCATTTATTCTGTCATCATTAGTAGTAGAAATATAGTATTAAATCGATTTTTATAGACTATATTTTGCCTCTGTCTCAAATGATTACAAAGGTGTGAATTCCCTGCACTACCAAAAAGACTTGGATAGAGATCTTGGATCAAACATCAACAGATCAATAATATTGATAATTCATATTTTTTATGGAATGTCACATCTTATATAAAAGGTAACCAATTACATCACGTTGTAACGATTTCTGATTTGTGCTTTATTGATTTGGATGAATATTGTTTAGGGTGCTAGTCAGGTCTCCTGACATATAGGATTTTTGGAGAATTCTATTGTTTACAAGTTGGATGATATAAAAAACCCGTTACACAAGGACATACATTTCCAGACATATTCCCTTATAATAATTAAAATTGCATGGCAATTGAGTGAGTTCACTCAATAGTTCAGAGTAAACAATCAGGTTTTGAAGTTTTCCACAGGTCCAGCTTATCGATGTATCTTTATCTGTTTAAGGAGGAAGTTGTAGAGTCAGGTGTTCAAGCCATTAGCTCTTCGTCTGATAGGGGATTAAGTGCTAGTCTTCACGTCTTTCCAGATAATGAAGACGATCTGTGTTGTCTTCCCTCTTCCCATAAGTTGGAAACTGTAGCTTTATAGGACTTTTTTCCAATGCATCTACGTCCTGCAGGTAAAGTAGAGAAATCAGGCATGGTAGTTTGGACTCCAGGTCTTGTAGTAGACTCCAGCCGGGGTCTGCGCAAGACACCTGTGGTATCTGGTAAGTCATAGTAAACAGTCTGAGTGGTTTGATCCAATATGGCTTGCTGCACTTGATGTAATGATTTTACTTTCCCTGAAATTTCTTCACACATTTGTTTTAATGTGGATTTTTGGTCCAGCAGCTCCCTCTGCAGGTAGGTAACATCTGTTTGTAGAAATGCAACACTGGCAGTGATTGGGGCTAACAAGATTTGAATTTCCTGTAATACTTCAGTTTCCTGGTGTTTCATTTTCCATCCAAATGAAGCCCTTATTTGTGACAGGATGTATTCAAATTGTACATCAATGTGCCCATACAATTCCTGTATTTGCTCTTTTGTTTAATTCGTCCATCTTTGATTCCATACTGCTTAGTTTTATCTCCATGTTTTGTTTTAAGTCTTCCATCCTTGAGCTTAGGTCTGACTTCTGGGTTTGAGCTCCAGGTTGGCCTTGTGCAGAAGGTGGGGAACAAGGCTGAATAGTGGGAGGTAGTCTTGAAGGTGAGGAATATTGGAGGGTAGGAAATGGCTGTTCAATCAATGGAGGTCCAAGCAAATCCACTCCTGTCAACTCCATGTCCAAAAGAGTGTTGTAGTACAATCGGTTGAAGGTAATGCAGGAGAGGAAGTCTGTTCGGTAAATTCCCTTACCTCTTTGTTGTCTTGCGTGCTCATTTTTATTGTTTCTCTGATGTTTACACTGTTAATGTGTTCTGAAATCAACCAGGGTCACGACTTTATTCCACAGTCACAGATTTCGGGCCCCACGTTGGGCGCCACTATTTTATTTAACGGTTTCTGTTTTTCGCTTTATTGATTTGGATGAATATTGTTTAGGGTGCCAGTCAGGTCTCCCTCCTGACATATAGGATTTTTGGAGAATTCTATTGTTTACAAGTTGGATGATATATAAAAAAACTGTTACACAAGGACATACATTCCCAGACG